TTATTTGTAGCGTAAAATTTGGTGTGCTATTGGGTTGATTTTTATTTTATTTTATTTTTTGTCACCTGAAAGTACCGTAGTCAGAAAAAAAACAATCGCAAACTCGCGATTAATTTCTGCCTCAAAGGGTTCATTATGGAGCAATGCTGCATTTGAGTGTCAGGACAGACTTTTAAAGGCAGAGTTCACTTTCTGTTCTCAAACAGATCAATAGCTGCTGATTCCAAACTATATAAATGGCGACGGTAATGGGCCATATTCCAGTGTATCACAGATGATCTCAGTTTATTCTCTCTGACTACATTAGTTGTAAAAATGTGCTGAATTAGTAACTCCCTGTGATTCAACTCTCCAGTCAGCAACTAACTTCTGTTTGACATGTTTACGTTTTACATCCAAGGATAATTGAATTTGTTTCAAAGTCATTTCATTATTTTTATCTTTCTGCTTTAACTTATCTGGTAAACAGCACTGCTGCCCAGGAATGTCAGATGTTTGGATGAATTAGTCACTGAGAGTCTTCAGATTTCAAACAGCTTAGTACTTCTCGCCCATCTGGTAACAATATAAATTACCTCCCACAATTTAAAAACACAGTTTCAAAATCACCTAAATGTTCCTTTATACAATTCTTTTAGAGTAATGTGAGTAATTCCCTCCATCTACTATTGTGCAAGAAAGAATTTGGAAACATTTAATGTTGCAAAATACATGTGCATGTCTATTGCTAATGTGCTATTTTAGCAGTAGTATAAAAATGTGGTTCTTTTGTTTTTCATTTGAAGCACTTGACTATATTTGTTTTGTTTTACACGTTTGTCCGAATACTTTTGACACTTGCTAGTTTTGATCGAGGTTCTCATGCCGTCAGAATTTTGTACCAGCTCATGCCGAGTTCCAGCTGTAAAGAGTCATATTTACAATTGCGCATTTATTCAAGTAATATTTCCGGGGATCATAGGCAGATAGAAAAATAAAAAGTAAATTTCTGCCAGACAAAATCTCTAAAATTGTCTAGAAGAAAAATGCTGAAATTTCTGAGTTTCAATACTCAGAATTTTTTGTGTTTCAAAAGAGTCGTATTTACTCAAGAAATTTAAGTTTTTTTCCCTCAAATTTCTGAGATTAATCTCAAAATTTGAGTTTTTCCAGATAATTTTCAACTTTTCAAACACAGAAATGTCCTTGTTTTTCTTTTAGAAAATGTATTTTATACTCAACTTACTCAAATTATATTAGTGCCTCATCATTTAATATCTATCTATCTATCTATCTATCTATCTATCTATATCTATCTATCTATCTATCTATCTATCTATCTATCTATCTATCTATCTATCTATCTATCATCTATCTATCTATCTATCTATCTATCTATCTATCTATCTATCTATCTATCTATCTATCTATCTATCTATCTATCTATCTATCTATCTATCTATCTATCTATCTATCTATCTATTATCTATCTATCTATCTATCTATCTATCTATCTATCTATCTATCTATCTATCTATCTATCTATCTATCTATCTATCATCTATCTATCTATCTATCTATCTATCTATCTATCTATCTATCTATCTATCTAATCTATCTATCTAATTATATCTATCTATCTATCTATCTATCTATCTATCTATCTATCTATCTATCTATTATCCATCTATCTATTATCTATCTATCTATCTATCTATCTATATATCTATAAAATAACAGGTGGAATTATATTGTCAGTTCACTGACAGATGTTTGTTTTTACCACTGCTACAAACCCATATGAGCCAGTAGAATCCCTCAGTCATCCTTGTATTGTTTTTGAAAAACTTTTTTATGGTATTCAATTTAATTTGCTTTGGCATTGAAATGTCTTAAAATTGACTCATTGAAACCTGCAGACTCCCTGTGCAAATCATAACTCTGGTTGTATTTCTCTATCTGTCCAAGTCTCTGCTTTAAATTTACTCTGAAATGTTGTTTGGCTATTTAAACATGGAATCCAGTTCGTGCCTGTTAAGCCAAATGAAGCCTACTGACCTGTCCACAGTGTGTTCTGCTAGCTAGCCTCAGGCAGATTCCACTTGATGGTGTCATGAAACCAGGAGGCGTGTCACTGCTGTAGCCTTTAATCTGACAGTATACATTATTTAATGAGGAGGCTGAGTTTCCATGACGATTTGATGCCAAAGAAACAGTATATGGCAACGCCCGAGGAAGCACAATACCAGAAATACGTTTAAGTGATGTTGCTAACGCTTTCCTGCATTGTGTGGCAGCAGGTTATGATGACAGAAGACTAGTTATAAATGTGTCTACTTCTCAGGTGAAGAATTTAGATGTAATGGCTATTAGCTGCCAGTTTTAACGCCAGTCAGTCAGTCAGTCAGTCGGTCAGGCAGTGCAGCCAGGCACTCTTTCATCACTTTCCGGAAACTGGAGACCTCAGTTGAAGGGCAGCATGACAAAGCATGTTGCCGTGGCGCCAGATTATCACGGGATATGGTTGCTGTTCCAGAGGAGAGCTGCTACGCACGGAGCCAAGCCGTGTGAGAAACACACACATATACACACACGCACACACAGTTCTGCTTTCCAGTGTTTCATCTGAAACCAAAGCCAGTGGCTCACTGCCAGGTTCTCTGCTGTGAGATGAACAGCTGGCTAATAATATAGACTTATCCTTTTTCTGAAGCACAAGAAAAGACCAATGGCTTTAATTAGCCTGGTTTCTATCATAAAGTAATTCCTTTATTGATTGATGTTGCCTCTTGTACTGGTATTATAGAACTAAAGCACATAGAGCAGGCTGAAAAATCTACTGACTTAGGAATGGGATCCGACATGAACCAGAGGATCTGGATAATTCAGATGTTTTGACTTCATTAATCATGAGATGGATGAATTAAAAAACAACTAGATATCATAAGTGTTGCTAATTTTAGAGGAATATCTTCAGATTTATACTGTAAGCTGCCTTGTTTTTTACTCATTAGCAGCTAAGTGTTTCGACAGCAGAATTTGCTGTACTGACAGCTAAGCCTCTGATTTATGTTGTGGTTTAATTTGTCAATCTGACACACAGATTTCACACATCCTTCCATCTTTCCTGCATTCCCCAGGTTAACGTCATGTTCTTTGCAGAACAGATACTACTAGCAGCTTCTACTCCCTTCCCTCCCTTCTTCACTCCCTCTCTTTGCTGCATCCAGCCTCTTCGGTAGCGCAGAGCTCTGGCTAATAAGTTTTAGTCAAGTGCAGCCGCTCCCAGGGTTCACACTGATTAATGAACAACACAAAATCCATATTGGCTTTGTACTAAACCAAAACCACAAGACTGACATTATTTACATGATCTGACATGAGATTTTTTTTTCACTGTGTGGTGTTTGTACCGTTATTGAAACTATAAAAAAAAAAAACGTAAATCTAGACTATTTCAGGCATTACATGAGTTCACAAAAGCAAGAAATTCAATTGTTTTTGTGAAATACTCAAAATTCTACAATTGATGCTGAAATATTATACATCCCTAGTTATAATATAGCCCATTTATGGAGGTTTTCATACTCATCTAAATCAAAAGCAAAATATTGAAAGAAAAGTATCAAAATTGTAACTTTTTTGTGTTTCCAGAATTTAGATGAATATCTCAGAAATATCAAACTGCACTTTCAGGATTCTCTGTTAAATGTAGAATTATCCAGTTCAGCTTTACTCAGCATATGTTCACAAGAGTTTGAACTAGATTGTCCACTCTCAATGAAAGGCTGTCCGTTAGCCCAGATGCTAGTTGTACCCTGAAGTAGACATTTTCAGTGCTTTTGTAACCATGTCAACCAAACCAACATGTGGTTTTGATTAGTCCACTGTGCAAGTTCTCGTTTCAAAAACTATGGACTTGAGAATGATTGTCTTAAGTATAGCTAATGGTAGAAAACAACGATGAGAAATGTTGTGCCGTATTTAGCACTGAGACATCAATACCATTCTACTTGGGTTTAGAGTCTAATTACAGTTCTGTTCAAATTCCTGGTAATATTATTTTAAAAAATATACGAGTATTATCTCCAACAACTCGGTAAACTAGCTGACGGCTCTGAGGGATTTCTCTGCTTTTTTTTTTTTTAAGTTTTACGTTGTCTTGTAGTTCATGTGGTACTGCAGTCAATGGGGAGAAGAGTTTTATTTCAGAAAATTTACCTCATGAATGTAGAGGTAAATTTGGTAACAGTACTATTTTAAAAAATAGTGCCAAAATGTTCAATTTGTTAAACATTTTCAAATATTTACGAATAGTTCTTTTTTTTTAATACAACCATATTCCAACCTGGTACAGAGCATTAATCTTTGTGAAATGTAAATTGTGATGGAAATGGATTTCCTTCTTGGGATTTTCTGTGCCGATCTTTGACTAACTCTGTTCTGGGCAAGACCTCCGACTCTGTTGCTAATGCAGAAAAACGTCTGTGAATCAGTTTGATGTGCATCCTTGTTGCTTCTGTTCTATTTTTAGCTGCTTTGTAATCATTCAGGAAGTCTGCGCCATGTTTCTAAAGAGGCCGTCTACTGACCCGTGTGCTCAGTGACGCTGCACCCACACACCGTGTGAAAGTCGGCTGATGGCTGGCCTTGAGTTAAGCTGCTCTATGATATCATGACCTCCCCCCTCTCTGTCACACCTAGCATTAAATCTGAGCTTCAGACTCTTTAAGCACAAACTGAAAATTAGTCAGTCCATCACGAAGTCTCTTGATGTATTTTTTTTATTTTTCTGGTTTGGTCTGTCCTTCACTAAGTCCCATCAGTTTGTCCTTTCACATAACTTTCTAAGCCAGTGGAGACCCTCAGTGAAATGTTTCTAATTTTATTTTTCTTCTTGATGCTACAAGTCGATACCAGCACCACTCTGGCAGTGAAAGCTGCCACCCAAACTAAATAATTTAACCTCTATTGCTGTCTGTCATTTTTTTATATATATATACGTCTGTGTTTGTCCTCAGGAATATGAAACAAAGAGTGGCAAAGCTGGACCTGGCAACCCGACATCTCCCAGGCAGGGAGTGAGGAAAAACCTGGACTTTGAGCCCCTCTCCACCACCGCACTCATCCTCGAGGACAGACCTGCGTACGTTTCTGTCCTACCAGTGTCTTCATTAACATAATCATTGGAGCTTATGCTTTATTTCCACTTTTTTCCACTTACCTCTCTCTCACTTTGTTAAAAGAAAAAAGCTTCACCTTTCCTGTCTGTTTTGTTTGTTTTTAACTGTTTTCTTAGACATCATTCTTCTCTGAATTTATATCATTGTAAAACTAATTCATCAAAATTTCCTCTTGGAATACCAGGATTTTTTTTTCTACCTGGCTTGTTTTTGATTATATCCCAGTGTTCACATTCATCCCATTTCTATATCAGGTTTATCTGGTAGAATATAAATGATCACATTTCTATGACTACATCCTTTAACATTAAAAGTTTTTTATTTTTATTTCTGCAGTTGCTATTTTGTGAAACGTAGCTGAAATTTTTACATTTCGAATATTATAACTTGCCATATTCCAAACACGCTCAGTATTTATTTTGTATAGGCTGAAGTCTAAGCAGTCTCTGTCCTATGTCCTCTTCTGGAGACGTTTTCAAGTGTTACCCAGTAATCAGTTTGCTGCCAGCATTTTTGAAACTGTCCTTTTTAGGCTTGGGCAATACATTTATTTGATCAAATTTTAATGGAATTTAAAGATATAATTTTGGGAAAATTTGGACTTTATTTTTCTAATCCACTTCTTGAGTTTCCATAGTTCAGAGATGTCAGCAAGTCCAGGGCAGCCATCTTGTTTTACAGCTTCTACTTTTGACATTGAATTCAGGTCAACTCAGTCGAAATATAAGTGTCAGGCTACAAAAATATATTTTTTTTTATTACCAGCATAAAGTCAAAATAATGTGAGAACATTTTTTTTTTATATTCAGCCAGCTCCTTTTTAATTACAATAAAGTGTTAAGTTTTAAAATTTAAAACTTTGTGGAAACAAAAAGTAAAATTTAAAGCAGATCCAAACATGTGCTGGTGGATTACATGCAGCTTGTGATGGAGTGTGGAGAGTTTTCTCTACAGGACTGGTGTGTCTCTTTAGGGCATAGACTTGCTTCTCATAAATGATGTAGGTAGAGTTCAGAAAGCACACACATAGCTGCTCACTCATTTCCCCTGACACACACACGTACATCTTTGTTTTTGCAGTAATCTGCCTGCCAAACCTGCAGAGGAGGCCCAGAAACATCGACAGCAGTATGAGGAAATGGTGGCCCAGGCCAAGAAGAAAGGTCAGCCAGCTCCACTCCTCACTGAACCACATCAACTCCTCATATATCGTTTTGTTTGTTTGTTTTTAGTATTGTTAAATTGTCTATTTGTTTTCTACAGAGCTGAAGGAAGCTCAGAAAAGGAAGAAGCAGCTGGAGGATCGCTGTAAGCTGGAGGAGAGCATCGGCACGGCGGCCCAGATCTGGAACCAGGAGATCCTACCCAACTGGAGCACAATGTGAGTCATGTTGTTCTTCTCTTTATTTTCAAAAAGCCACATTTGTATGTGGTAGAGTAAATTAAATAAATGCAAAATTATATGTTTGACTTAAGTTAAAAAAGAGAGAAAAGATTAGTTAACTTTGGATAACACTTTTCTTCCATCTGTATCCATCTGGTTTTTGTAAAAACAGAAATGAAGCATATAAAACCAAATGGAAGAATTATCACAGCTGTAATAATTTTATATTTTATAGATCATTATATGGATCTATAGATCAACATCACAGTAGGCTGAATCAATGAATATTGGTTATTGTGGCATCTTTTCCTAATATTTTATTCATTCTAAACATTCTCAGCTATTTCCGGCACATATTGATTGATTATATTTTTCCCATTTATTCATCCATCCAGCCATTTTCTTCTGCTTATCCAGGGTCGGCTCGTGGGAGTAGCAGCTTAAGAAGAGAAACATTTCTCACTGAAACATTCATGTGTGACATTCCCAGTATACTTGCCACGTCTGAGGCTCGTTTAATCTCAAAACCGGACGCGCTTGTAATACTTGTTATTCATGTACCTATCCACCTTATTCCTGGCCCCCATGAGGCTTTGTGTGATTTATGGGCGCGACTTCCACTGCTAACCGGAACTCCCATGCGTTTACATGTTAGTAACTTGTTAATTGGCTTTCTACAAAGGTTTTATAGGCTGTAAAATATGTGGGAACTATCACAGCTTGCATGTGGCAATGTTGTTTTACAGCTACCTACAGCTAATGCGGGGAGGAATGGCGACTTGAAGAAATGCCCACAAATAACCCGCACTAGCATATTTAGCTACTTCACTGACTCAGTTGCTTCGGATGCAGATGCGGGTTTTCTTCCCTTGGCTTTCTATCCATACAATGAAATTAGCCCATAAAGCATTTTGGGTTCTCTCTTCAAATTAATGTGTGATTCTGTTCAATTCTAGTCCAGTGGGCAGATTCTCCATATTACAGTCTGGGGTGCAGCAGCAGCTGTGGTCATTTCTCCGCTGATTTACAGCGACACTCAGCAATAGAGAACCTCTGTACTGAGCAGCTCTCTGATAGCAGATGGTGTGTCCGTGAACAAGTTTGACTAAATATTGTATTCTGACCAAAAAGAGAGATGTAACTTCTATCATGAATATAGATTGGCAAAAAACCCTACAAATTACAGTGAAATACTGCTATTTCCAATGGGTGCCGGAAGCAAGACCCATAATCGTTTCCCCAGTAAGCCTCACAGGAATAAGGCGGATAAGATACTTTCTCTAACATCTCTTCGTGGTCCTCAACGTTGTTTTAATACCACATTAGATGCTACAACCGAACTCATGCAGAACAGTAAAAAGGAGTTGTGAAAATCTAAACAGGAAGTAGGAACCAGATACATTGTGTTGGGGATTACCTGTTATTTCCTGCTCTGGCAGTGGAGGCAGCAGCTGCTGCAGTTGGATATTATCGCCCCCATGTGGCACTGATCAGTAATGGACTCTTTAAAAAGAGAGGAAAGAAAGTTGTAAACCAGCCTGAGTTTATATTTTCTTTGTGCAGGTGTACCTCCAGGCGAGTGAGAGACCTCTGGTGGCAGGGCATCCCTCCAAGTGTCAGGGGGAAAGTGTGGAGCCTGGCTGTGGGCAATGAGCTGAACATCACACATGGTACATTATTATTATTATTATTATTATTTTTATTTTTTTTGTTGTTGTTGTTAATTTCAGTTTTAATTTCAATTTACAGAGTTCTAGTTCAGCTCACCCACCTGTTTCCTCTTTCACCTCTCCTCTAACTGGTTGAGTTCATAATAAATAAATTTAAAATCTATAGGTTAAAGGTTAAAAAAGGCTGTAGTATCATTTTTTCAAACACTAATTTGTGTCCTTATTGGCTGAGTAATTTATTGATATACTTAATTGAAATCTGGATAAGAGTTGACTATATAGGAGAAGTTATATTATCCTGTTCCTACAGACTTATTGGGAGTGAGGATGTTTACAAAACAGCCAAGTAAATGAATGTTTTTGAATTTATTCTGAAGAAGCTAAGTTTGCTAGTTGTTTTCAAGGCCAGCTGATACACTGTATGAAAATAAAAAATGATTTGCGCTGTTGGTGCAAGTATACTTACCACCGATGGGGGAAAAAATGTGCAGTTTGACGGCTCAAAATATAACACCTCCTCCCCTTTATCACCATGTCGTTCTGAAAGAACAATGTTAAAGGTTCCTCTGCAACTTTCAAGAACATAGCATTTCATTTCCAGCCCTGACTATAGCAGAGGCTCATTAGATGCATGAAAAATCCAAAATATAGTTGTCCTGTATCACAATCTTCAGCAAGTAGCTTTTATTCTACATACCCTTATTGGGCAGTTTGTAGATACTTTCTGTAGGAATATAAACATGAATGATGAACATGATGAAGGTCACTGGCTCTCCACTCATCAAATTCAGTACTTAGATCTGAACACTAGAGGGCAGCAACAAGTAGGATGAATGTGTTCTGAAATGTAAACACCTCTCTGTTCTCTCCTCTTGTCCTCCACTCAACATCGTTAACCTTTGCCCTCTTCTCTCTCATGTCGATTGACCTGGCGTCCCTGCAGAGCTGTATAACATTTGTCTGGCCCGGGCGAAGGAGAAGTGGAGAAGCACAGCAGTTCCCTCCACTGACACTGAAGGTAGAGACTAAACGCAAAATGTGGATTTCTTTGTTTTTCATTTCTGATCCAAGTAAAACTCCCACATGACACAACGGGATTTCTTCAAGACGTTTTAGATTCTTCGGACCGCGAGTCGAGCCTGGAGCTCATCAAGCTGGATATCTCCAGAACTTTCCCCCAACTGTGCATCTTCCAGCAGGTGAGTGACAGGAAGCTTCATGAAGGTTGTATCCAGAATGCAGCTGCAGTCCTGTTGAGCCTAATTAAACAGGTGAGCCATGTTGAAAGCTGTTTAAGGGAAAGGGAAGCTCATTCTTGTTTCTTTTGTCTTTTCTGGGTCTCTGTTCAGGGCGGGCCTTATTATGATGTGCTGCACAGCATTCTGGGAGCATACACGTGCTACCGGCCAGACGTCGGCTATGTAAGTCCGTCCAAACACTTCCCTGCTTCCTGTGGTGAAATTACATCTCATCTCTGTCATGTTGGTTGTTTACCATCCATATATATGTGAATTACGTTAAGAAAATTTACTCATGGATAGAAAAGCTCTTTTATTGGCCAGGCCTCTATTCAGATAGACCTTTACATGTGATTATTTGTCATTTAGTATTTGTTTTGTATTGATATTTATACTGTTGTTTCATATATTTGATTCTTTTTTCTCTTTTTAATTTTTTTTATTTTCTTATGCCAGTGCTATAGTGTTTCTCTATTTGTATCTTCAGATTATTTTTTTTAATTTCTTTTCATATCACAGCAATAAAAAATTATCTAAGGGAACAATAATAATCACACCAATATTGTTAATCCACTTTTAAATCATGTCCATCTTTTTTATGTATATATCTTTTTTTATGACTGAACACACTGTTTGGGTAAATTTGATCTCGTTCTTAAATAAAATGACTCGAGTCTATTTAACTATGTATATACACTCATTAACTAGAACAATATACACAGAATATAATAATAATAATAATACATCATATTTTTTAGCACTTTTTTGGACTCTGACGTTTTACAAGAAAAGAAAAAAAACAAAATCTAATAATTTTGGTCCCTGATGAACTAGAAGTACAAGATTTATTTATTTTTCTTGACAAAATGATATTTGAAAAACGGCATGCTAAATTATATATATATATATATGTGTGTGTATCTATATATATGTGTGTGTGTATATATATGTATATATGTGTGTGTGTGTGTGTATATAAATATAGACTTAGACTTAGACTTGACTTTATTGATCCCTTGGGAAGACTCCCTCAGGAAATTAAAGTTACCAGCAGCTCACAGGCAAAAATGTGGCACACAGTAAGCATATGCAAAAGAATACAAAAAAATACAAATTAAATAGAAGGTACACAGTAAATATAATAAGAATATAAATACAAAACAAAGAATATAAATACAACACAAAAGGAAAATATAGCATATATATATATATATGTATGTGTGTATCTATATGTATATGTATATATATATATATATATATGTATGTGTGTGTATCTATATGTATATATGTGTGTGTGTATATATATATATATGTATGTGTGTGTATCTATATGTATATATGTGTGTTTATATATGTATATGTGTGTGTGTCTTTAAAAATGATCTAAAGTAATAGAAAATATTTATAAACTAAGTTACAGAATACGCAGGGTGACTGTGAATTATGTAAAAATTACAGCATCGGCACAATGGTATTCCACAAAGATATTCCACTAAAAGTGCTTTGAAATGAAGTTGTCATTAAATCAAAATGTGACGACCGCAAAAGTACAACTCCCAATTACATCACACTACTTGGTTAAATATGATTACAGTTACTGTTTCTAATTGCATTTTTCAACCTTCATGTCTGTAGCGGTCACAGCCAATCTGACACGTCTCAATATCGTTTAAGGTTATTTTCCCTCCAGTTGGTTGCCCTCTTCTCTACTAGCTTTGGGGAAATACCCACTATGTCACAGTGCAGTGGAACATTCTTAGAATATCGTAGCATTAGCATAATATTTTACCCTGTAATTTAACACCACAGAAACGCTGTAGGGAAATATTAAATGGACTTTCTGCTGTTGACCACAGGAATTCTTGTAGAGCATGAAAAGGTAAATATAGCACAGCACAAGCCTCCCACTCAACACCAACGCCCATGCTTTCTATCATTAAGCTGTTAGAGTGCGGTGCAAGTAGATGTCAGCTTCTCGGATGTAATTTTCACCTGAGTGGGCGCTGTGGAGAAGCTGAGTGGGTCCAGCTTACGAACGGTGAGCAGTCAATATCAGCTCTGACTCTGGCATTTCAGCAGAGTACGAAAATTTCAAAACCAATAAAATACACTGTTTATGTTTGTACGCTGTTTGTGTGACTAATGAGAACTCTAATTGATCTGATGAGTTCAAATAAAATTTTTATCTTCTGTAAAGAAAAAAACTTTTTTATTGCTCCCTGTTTAGTCCTTATAGTGTCTGTAGTTTTAATGAATTGTTTCTGTTTAATATTGAACAAAAACAATCTAGCTCTGCAGGGTGGGAAAAAATGTCTGATTAAAAAAACAAACAAAACAAACATCAAGACATGTCAAATCAGTGAATCCTTTTTATTTCTTTATAGTAAATTATGTTACAGGATGTCAAATGTCAATCTTTGATGTGTCAAGTTGATTGTTTTCATTACTTTTTATGAATTTATATCAGTGTTAATGCGTCCTTAAAAACTTTAAAATTCATGTATCTAAAATTAGGGCCTTAATGTGTCTCATATTTATTAAAAAAGTAAGATAGTCTCATGTCTGAAATTTTCTCTTCACATGGTTATTTCATCATGTTTGTTCTGTATATTATTTTTGTCTTTTGGGCCTTTTCTATCAGACAAACATTTGAGTCGCACTCAGATGTTGTCTTTGTGCTCTGACTGCAGACGGTTGATGCTTCTGCTAACTCACTGCTAACATACCCTTGCTACCTACCTAGCTCGCAAGCTTCTTTGTGTCAAAGTTAAAATTTGTTGCCAGTTTGCTGGATGAAGTTTGCACATTTCTGTGGAGATATAGGTCTTAAATTTCATTCATATTGGTCCTGAAAAGCGTTAATTTTGCATTGCTGAAACTGCAGGTTTCAAAAACTAAGGTTTTCACTTTAAAAGCTCAAAATAGCAAAATTACTCCAGTCAAACATCAGTAGTAGTAAAATGATGTGTACTCAGGAGAGTAAACAAAATAAAAGGAGACACTTTGACACAACTAAAGAGCTTTATTGTTCAAATAATTTTATTTTTGAGCTTTTTAGCGGATCAATCTGTGAAATTAAAAAGCCACAGCATCACGGAGCGCTCTTTGAATCATGTGAGCTGTGATGTCGGCTCTGTTGCTGTTCAACCGCAGCCCCACGCTGCTGTTTATACACTTTTATAGAAATGACTGTGACTTCCTGCACTGACCCCAACCCATCTCTGCACACATCTGTGCACTCACCGCTGCATGTACAGTTTATGAGCATCAGCCTCAGTTTATGTGAATCTCCTCTGTTTTCAGTCTGATTAACAATAAATGCTCCTTGTATTGATGGAGTGAAAGTTCAGGTGTTGAGTCATGGCCGTGCTCTGAGTCACTCGGACACAAATCACTCCGACTCGCATCTGTAGCTGTCAGCCCGTTTATGGCTGTGTTTTAAAATCATTTCTTCTTACTGCCTCCGTCGTGCTCAGGTGCAGGGGATGTCGTTCATCGCCGCCGTGCTCATCCTCAACCTGGACACAGCCGACGCCTTCATAGCTTTCGCCAACCTGCTCAACAAGCCCTGTCAGATGGCCTTCTTCAGAGTCGACCACAGCCTTGTTAGTAAAACACACACCCACACACACACACACACTAACACTCGGAAACCACATCATACATACAAAGAAATCACACGTGGGGAGCCTCTTTGCAAACTTCATATTTATTCTGACCGAATGTTTGGGTAGGAAGTAGAACTAAAGGGATTCTCAAAAACTACGCAGGGGACTTTACTTCAGGGATTTACCCGTCAGATATTAATATCTGTCTATGCCAATATTGGGGGGAAAAAAATCTATGTTGAGTATTGGTGACAATGTTCCTGAACCATGAGGTTGGATCTGAGCGACATAATGTTTGATCATTTATATTCCATAATATTCAGAAATTATTGCTCAGTCTGAACCAGTTGAAAGGTTTTATGCTGTTTATTTTTACATGTTTGACTAATGAAGTCAGTCTATTTTTGTTTGATCAGTTTCTTTCTTTTTTTTTTTTACAATGGTTGTGATACTCCGAATTGCACTGAATAAATTAAAGTTATTTTTACATTCGATCAAGCTTGTGAAGCTGTGTATGTATTTAAGTGTGCTGTTCTGGTGCAGAGTTATCAGATAAATGAATTATTCAGTATGTTTATGTCTGTGTTTATAAAAAAGAGAGACTGTTTAAGTAAATTCAACTATTTCTCTGCATCAGATAAACTTCAGATATCGGTTTTGGAAGTGAATAAGGTGGATTGGTGCATCCCTACTCTGCTCTAAGCAATGACTGTTAAATGTTGCTGTCTTGATAACAGTTTGGCTTGTTTCCATGGTTTCCTCTCTCTCCCGTTTCCAGATGTTGACGTACTTTGCAGCGTTTGAAGTGTTCTTTGAAGAAAATCTACCAAAGCTCTTTGCACATTTCAAGAAAAACAGCTTGACTCCTGATATTTATTTAATTGACTGGTGAGTTTTTCACTTTTACACATTTCTACAGTTTTTTTAAAGTTTTTTTTATTGACCAACCCTGAACTTGACTTGGTGCTTTAGATAGTTTTGAACCAGATCTTCCAGTTGCTCCGTCAGTGGCATGTTGAGCTGGTAATGTGTTCACCTGCATGCAGAGTGAACTTTGCGCTCCATGTTGCTGTAGGGGAACTTCATGCTGCCTGCGGGTCACATTTAGAACCTCAACTGGGTTTCTGAGAAAACAGGATGGGCTCAGTTTGCACATGGGTCTGTGTTAGTGGTCTGTACTCTACTAGAGGAAATTCTCTTCACTCTCACTTGCAATAATCTCACTTCCATTGGAGGGTGCACTTTTAAATGTGCTTTCCCTTTTCTTAATGTCATATTGCAATTAATAATGTAAAATAACGTTGGTCGATATTGTCATATGTCAATTTGTTCCGTCTCTCTTCTAGAGAAGTGGAATGTACACTTTTTATTACACTGTTTAATGAGGTCTTTAACACCAATATAAACACTGAGGTGTCAAACCACAAACTCTGAATTTTCATCCTTGGCTGTGTTTGCATTGAGCATAGAATTGTGCAACTCGGAATTGCAAAAACAAATGCACCGAATGGCAACGGCAGTTTTCAAAAAAGTCACAATAAAAAGGTTTTGACCCAGGATAAAGTTTTTTTTGTTTGTTTTTTTAGCTGTGTTGAAATTCAGGCATTTTGCAAAACTGCGATAGAAACACTTCATTCATCCCTGTTTGTGCACAACACGGCTACTGCAAAACTGTTTTCTTTTTTCAACATTAACAGAGTTGAAAGTTTTGCTCATACTTTTAATGAAAATGCTTAATGAGGAAAACATGTTGCAAGTTACAAAGTTGTCAGTTTCAGACATGACTGCTAACACCTCCTGATACAGCCTGTCGTAGATAATTGGATCTTTGCAGTTTGATAACCATCGATCCAAACAAACCTTGCACCTCAGAAAAATCGCTCCTGTTTTCCTTAATCGGTGATGGTTTGTGTTCAGACTCCCAAACTAGTGCAGGAAAAAAAACGTGTCCCAAGCTGCCTTAAGTGAGTTCAAATCATAATTTTTTGCACCATTTAAAATTTAAGTTCTTTCTGATCACTCAGAACAAACAATGATTCCTGGTCTAAAAGTCCCCAGTTAATTCTGATGGTAGTACTGACATCATGAATGTAAATGAATTGATTACCCCTAAATAAAGTATTGCCTTCCTCTGTTGTCTCTTGCAGAGAGATGCAGTTTTAATTTGGCTGCCATTTACAGTTTTGTCTTCTTTCTTTTTCTTTTTCTTTCCTCCCAGGATCTTCACACTGTATAGTAAGTCTTTGCCACTGGACCTGGCGTGCCGGGTGTGGGACGTGTTCTGCAGGGACAGCGAGGAGTTCCTGTTCCGCACGGCGCTGGGCGTGCTGCGCCTCTACCAGGACGTCCTGACCTCCATGGACTTCATCCACATGGCTCAATTCCTCACCCGCCTGCCTGACCTCATCCCCCCTGAGCAGCTCTTCCAGCACATTGCAGCCATTCACATGACCAGCCGGAACAGGAAGTGGGCCCAGGTACTGGTTCGTCCACTGGGGTCTGTTTCACAGTGCATTGCAAAAGGATTCACTCTCTTTGGACATTTAAAAAAAAAATTTAATCAGAATTTTGTTCATTCTTCTGCCCAAAATAGCTCAGGCTGGATAGAGCTCATCTTTGAACACCAATTTCAAGTCTTGTCAGACATTCCCATTTAATTTTGATCTGGACTTTGACTGGGCTGTTTTGGCACTTGAATTTGCCTTACACTAAACCATTCCACTGTAGCTCTAGTTGTATGTTCAAGGTCGTTATCCTGCTGGAATGCGAAGCTCTGTTTAGGGATGCACTGATGTGAAAATCTAATACCGCTGTTATGGATTGTAACCAATATTTACCGATATATTGTATTATATTTTCCCCAACATTTCAACATGATGAAAAATACTGCCTCACTGACTACGCTTCCTGGATGCGTCAGTAAACCCTCCATATACTTGTATGTCTCTTGGACGATACCGATATTGATGCCAATATATCGTGCATCGTTAATTCTATTGTTTGGTGCACTCTCTACTTTTCACACATTTATACATTTCAGATTTTTAAGTGTTCAGTCAGAGGCTTCTTTGGAACCACTGCAACACAGACAGGAGAGCCCTCCTGGGACCTCAATTTCCCTTTAGGGTTGAAGTGTTCTTGAACTGAATGTTTTGTCTGTTACTCCTTTTACTATTTTTAGCATTTTAGAGACACAATTAGAAAAGTTTGAGGCGTTTGAACGCTTTTTGTTTCGTATTTTCATGCTGCCTGTGAGAAGCGAGAGAGTAAAAACACGCCTCTGCTGCCTTCCATCCTCGCAGGTCCTGCAGACGCTGACAGAGCAGAAGAAATCTGGAGCGAGGCTGTCCGGAGCCGAGGCGCTGAGCTGAGGTCAGAGGGAAGGTCACACACTAATCCACTCAGACCCCCTCCAGCTTTCAGAGCATCCTGCACCTGAAAGAGACAGAGACACCCTCTCCTCTCCCGCCTCCCATCAGCTTGTGGTGGGAGTGAATTACCGTAGCTGCTGAGTCGGAGCTTTCCTTCGTGTCGCCGCTCAGACCCTAAACCAGCATCCACAGGAGGGTCTGCCGGTCAGGAAGCACCGGGAGGTGAAAGGAATACGAGGCCTTATTTTCCTGTTTTTCTCCCCAACACCCAACATAAAGCCCAGCAGTGAACTGGAAACTGTAGCTGGGAAACGGTGAAGAATGTATCGCACTCCCACTGTCATGAACACCAGGCTGACTCAGATCTCTTCTGGTGGGGGGAGGAAACCACAGAGGCACCACTGAAGTTACTCCACCAGTCCCTCCACCTGACCCCGGATCCTCTGCTGTCGGCTACCTGAACCGCGATCCACTCGTCTCTTTCTTCCTCTGGTTACAGTGACAAGCATCACAAACCTTTTTTTTTTTTCTTCTTCTAGATGTGTACCAGTCAGGGAACATCACTCTCATTTTTAATTCCCACCTTTTGCTTTCAAAACCACCATGCTTGTTTAAAATGTGGCCAGTGGATTCTGTTTGCACTTTTATCATTTCCTCATGGTGTGTTCTGCGTGTGTGTTTTTTAGGCTTGTTTTCTGAATCATTCCATTCTGTCGCTTTAAAATCCACGAAGCTGCAGCTCGATCACATGATGACTCTGCAACATGTGACTAATGAAAACTCTTCACTGAGGTCGTATAAGCTGCCTGGGAAATTATTTTTACTTTTGCGTCAATGAAACTGGGTTAACTTAAAAAAAAAAGTGGAAAAGTTGGTCTAAACACTGCAGATGTTGATTTCTTTTTCATGCTTTTAATGTGTTTATGGTACATTTCAGCTTTGTAGTGTCCTGGTGTGTGAAGTCTTTTTGTGCGGTTATTTAATATTTATCAGAACTGTGACGAGATATAAAATGGAAATGAAGGCTTGTGGTGAAGTTCCTCCTCAGCAAGTGAGAGGTGTGTGAACATGTTAAATGTCGAAACGGGACCGGTTTACTTGATTCACTATTTGATCAAAGAAACATTTTATTCGTCTGCGTTAAAATTTGTCCAGATGATAGCTGTGATAGTAAAATAAACTCCGGATTCTCAAGCAGTTCAGAATGTGCAAGTTCTGCCTCGCTGATACTGTAACTTCAAGAAGGAGCCGTCGGGGCCTGATGGTGACTATTTAAGAGCTTTAATAGAAAGTATAGTTTATGTCTGAAGCTGCAACATGCCATTGATTTTTGAACATGAACGCATGAATTAATGAAGTTTCCCAACAAACTGTTTTTCTTGCATTTTCCTTTAGCACTTTCTTACATAAGGCAGCCATATTGGATCTTGAAGTTGCATTGGGGAGGCTCCTCCCACCTTTGGAACAGGATCCTCCCACTTTTGGCACAGGCTCCAATATATTTTGAAGAACCCATACAGACATGGCTTTCCACTGTATGCAAGTTAAAACAAGAAATGTTAAGATTCAACATTTATTCCTCCTGTAAAATAACACAATAGATTATTGCAGTCAGGGCCGGATGTAGAAGTACAAGGGCCCCAGGATTCGAGCCAGTTTTGGTGCCATAGCAAAAGAAATTGAACTCATGCAAATTACAGACCATAATAGGTCCTGTTGTATGTCTGCAGATGACTCCATTTTGATCCCAAAACCATTCATTTCAAATATCTGAGAAGTTTAAATTTATAGGAAAAAAAAAACACCACATGCAAAATTAATCTATGACCTTAATATGCAATATGATGTTTGAGAAAGATAGAAAGTACAAAAGATACAAACAAAATATACATAACAAACATAAAAGTGTTTTGTTTTTGTTTTTCTGCCCACACATCTCAGAGCCCTGGTCTTTCTAAAGTCTGGCTCGGATTGCAGTCACAACCAGAGATTTTCCAGCCAATTTGTCTTCAAAAGTGAGGGAACGATGTAGCCTGGAATTTTATTAAATTAGACTTTTTTCAGTGTGAATAAAAAAAGAATTCACACTTGCCTTAATGCCAGAAACTGTCCCCCACCTAAACACACGTCAACACACTACACGGCTGCTGCTGGTTTAAACGCTGCTGCTCCAAAGCGCAGCAGGATGCATTCAAATGACTGTAAATGTCTTGGATGTTGGGATCAGATGTTGGCTCTGCTTCAGTCAGTCTTCTGTGGCCTTCACAGTGGATTCACACTGTGGTAAACGTGTCATCCCGTCATAACCAGGTGACACCTGCATTGACATTGCTGTCATCCGTAAAGTTAAAGTAACACCTTAAGGTTCCGCATAAAACAACAAAACGTATTGAAACTTGTCTTGGTATTTTTTTTTAATCCCCATTTTTAATCTAATCAGGTTGAAAGCATAGAAATCTGATTGGATCTGAAGGTCAACTGTGGATAAAATGAGTGTGTCCTCTTGGTTGTTTTGCTGCTGATTTGTATTATTATTTTTTACGTGAAACTACTTTTGTTTTCGGTGAAAATCTCCTCTCAGTGGGACCACGCTCTCGAAGTACACCCAAGTCTTGAGATGACTTGAAACCAAAAATCGGTTCTGACTTGTCGGATTCTTCTCACACATCTTTTGGCTGTCTTTAGTCAGTTTTCTGTTTCTTTTCTGCTTTCACATCATCATCTGTCTGCACCTCACTCCCCTCCCCCCCACCACCCACCATTCAACTCCTCCACTGTGGTTTTTCTTTAAAAACCACACAGGACTGCAATAAAGCTTTTTGCACAAACATGTCAGCCTTTGCATTGAGTTGTGCCTCGCATCATCTCTTCATGTCATCAGTCACAGTTTGTTTTTGTGTTGTCACTGACGTTGCCGTGCCGATCCTTTCTCTGTGATGTGTGCTTGTGGTAAGAAGGTAATTGCACAAAGATGTTGGTTTCTAACATGTTACATTAAAGTTGAAACCTGGTGTTATCAATCAACACTACCTGTCCTTCCTTTAATCCACTGCACTTAAAACACACACACAAATACTCGAGCAGAAGTGTCATTTTCCTTTGCTCACTAATCAGATTGATTTTTTTTATTTTTATTTTATAGTCACTTTCGGAGTTTTTTTTTTTTCGAGTACCGTTGAAGACTGAGGGCCGTCATGCGACTGTATTTCACTTGAAAATGTACATAAATGGTTTTATCATAATAAAAAGCTATACATACCCTCCTGCTTTTTTGAGTCTTTGTTAAATCTACAGATGTGTGTAAAAAAAATTAATAAAATAAAAAATTTGATTGTGAAAAGTATTTTTGGACACTTTGGTAACGATAAAGGTCAGGCTGTGGTTCTGTTGCGGTATAATGTTAGCCTGAGTTGATCATTTGCATTGTTGGGTTGGTGCTTCTCCTCTTCCTCTTCCTTTATAGAGAATCTCTGATCGTACACCAAAGGTTTTCTACAAGACTCGGGTCATGACCGTTTCTGGCCACTGAACCAGCTTTTGGTAACTTTTTGGTGTGGGCTGGGAACCAAGTCCCAGCTAGAAAATGAAATCAGCATCTCTATATATCTTGTCTACAGAAGGAACCAAAGGTTGCTCTAAAATGTCCTTGCAGATGGTGGACTGCTCCCCAAACCTTCAGAAACTTCACTCTCAACTCCAACCAACGAGGTTTATGTGCAACTACCCTTTTTCTAAACTCTTGGTTTCCAAGTGAAATCCTTTAGGTTTCCATTTGGAAAAAGGACGTTGGATCACAAAGTGATCACTAAGTTGGGCTCGACTTAAGCAGGTTGTTTAATAAAAATGTCCTGGTCATCAAAATTGCAAATGTTGCCTACAAACGAGACAAACCAGGACGATGACTCAGTTTGCTAACGTTTGCCTAGTCAGTCACTTTTTCCTAGAACTACGACAGACAGGTGGAATTTACCGAGAAAGAAAAACGTCATGGATTGTTGCACCGCAATGTGTTAATGTGCATTTAGAAATATGCCTTTGTGTAATTTGTATCGACTCTCATTCTTTAATTTGCTTTGAGGATGTCACAGTTTTTCTTGATCTCTCATGATGACATTCCTACAAACTTTAGAGATGATTTCAGAATGTTTACAAAGGAAACTCACAATCTCATTTTCAAGAGCAACCCTTTATGACCGCAGCCTCTACAAGCATTCACCATTCACATCCCAGCAATGATGTATCCTACTTTCAAAGGCATCAAAGTATAAACCATCAAACTTGTTCTTTCAGCAATGCTTTCAGCTCACTGAGTGTCAATTGTTCTATCAATTTAGACTCGCTGAAAGTCATTCCAGACTGAGGGGGCGGCGTATTTAAATGCCCTCTTACTAATATCAGTTCAGTTGTTTTTCTCTATAACCCAGGTCCGATGCCTGCCCTGTGTAGGATTCATCAAGAATCCTAGATGAATCGACTCCAACCTCGGTCCATGAACGGCTTGAGCTCGACGTCGGCAGCAGATCTCCCTGCTGCTGAAGCACCTTTTCTCATCACAACCCAACAAATTTACTTTGGCAAGTGGAGCAAGTACAGCTTTCACCATAATGCTCCTCTTGAGATGTATAGAAAGTATGCATCAAGGACCCGGAACCAAAATCTGAACGGCTGCATCATGGATGTAAACTGAATAATTCAGGTCATTTCCCTCATTTAAATCAGTCATGTGGAAAAGCCTCATTTTCCGCATACATGGAAGTTGTTCCTCCGTAGACGAACCTCTGAGAAATTTCTCTTCCGTTTGAATTCAAGCTGGGTTACGTTGTCTCATTTCAAGGTCAAGGCAACCACAGAAAGAAAACCATGTGTGGTGAAGACATCCAGACTGGATAGAGATAAAACTTTGACTTTAAAGGTTCGCCAAGAAGCCACTGCGAATGAGATCATATGCAAATGGAAGGAAATCTGCAACCACCAACATAATCTGCGACTGTTTGGTCAAGACTCGAAATGATCAACAACAACGCTGGGATGAATTATTGTTGAACAGCAGCTTTGGTTTTGGCCATTAATAACGTTTTACAAGTGCATTCTGGGAGTCCGAGTACTTATCGGTTTCTGTATGCAGTTCAGTCCTTGTTTCTGTCATGTTGGGCCCAGTTATAATGTAGAAAGATAGTTTTAATAAGTAAAACTTTGTTGAAATTTATTGCCTCTGACAATGAAGTTGATTCAGATTGAGTTCATTTTTTGTTGTGAAATAGTCGTGTTGGTTCTCAGTAAACCTGATCAGGAATCGGTTCAAGACTTTTGAGTTGGTTTTCAAACCAGAAGCATGAGAAAAAGGAAAGTAAATGCAACTTTTGAACCTCAATGTTATCTCTGTGTTGTTTCTCTCATTGTTTAGTAAGAGCCAATGCCGTGCTCCGTCAACATCTTGCTCGACGGATGCAGGATCGGTCAAACCGCGGCTGCTTTCCCTCTGCCCTCCACCGTCGTTTCTAACTGAGTGGAAAGTTTCACATGCAGTGTCTTCACAACCACAAGCCCTCCTACTGTAACCCCACTGACACCTCATTTCTCCTCCTATCCATTTTGAACCTTGATGCCCCCCAGACGTGACTCAAGTCTTCATTATCATCATCATCACCTCCGGAGGAGCATCTGGTCGCCATGAAGGCCCAACACGTCTTCCTGCTCTGCATCCTGGGAGCCGCTCTGCTGTCCACAGTCCTCTGCAGCAGTAAGACCACAGCCGGACCGCAGCCGCTTCTTCAGGCTGACGGACGATTCGTTTCATGTGACCTTCTTGTTCTTAGATGGAATTGGACCCGACGACTGCTGCTTCAGATTCTACCGACGGCAGATGAGGAAAACCGCCATCCGCATGTACCACTTGACTGATCACCGCTGTCCCAAGCCTGCAGTCGTGTGAGTAATTCAAACTCCAAACTGGGTTCATGTCAGTCAGGTTTTCAACAAGTCCTAAGAAGATAATTGGGTAGAATTTTCTCTCAGGGAAATTATTATGAGAATAATATCAATAATGCTTAAAACTACTAGAGATGTTTCATATCGACATTACTCTTGGCCTTGTACAACGAAGTGTTGGCAGCATTCTTATTTTCAAATCTCCTTCCTTTTTGTTTAGTTTGGTCACAGAACTGAATCGGCGTCACATCTGCGTGGATCCAAATCTTCTGTGGGTTGAGAACATGATGAGGCATCTGGATGAAAAGGACTTGAAGTGAACGTCTTGCTCATCCCTTCACCTTCCTTTGCTTTGTTTCATGCCTCACGTTTGAACGTTTGCTGCGTTCTGGAGGCTCAGCATGTTGTTCTGATGAACCAGAGACATTTATCTGACTGTTTCAGTGGTTTCCTTATCTTGACGGGTTAACCTCACTGGAAACCAGTTTAGATTTGATCTTGTTTTCTGATGTTTTCTAAAGTGATCTGCTTGTATCTGTTGGTTTCATCTAAAATAAAAGTAAAAAAACACATTAATCTGTATTTCTACTTTGCTCAGGATTATAAACAACTTTTTTGGAAAGACGAGATGAAAAGATTAGAAAATCACATAGATCAGTAGATATGAGGTTTCTGCAAGAAGTTACATTTAAAACTTAAAGATCTGAATAGAGGAACATTCATTTACTTTATCCAAACAAGTTAAATACATCTTAGTCAGAACCAGTTGGTGTTTTCCAGCTCTGACATGTGACTTGAACGTTTTTACCAAACCACATCACCTTCCCACTCAATGTGATGAACCTCATCACACTGACAACCAATTTCAGCCATTTACTGAAATGCCTGTTACTAAATAGATAAACAGAAAGACAGACAGACCAATACTTTATTAATACCCACATAGGGAAATTCATGAGCCTAAGTAGCACCTAATACTCCCACAGCACACACACCATCAGACCTGGACAACCCTACGTCCAGCTTTAGGGAAACAAATTATTCTCCTATTGAGACAGTTGAGTCTTAATGCCTGTTGACCAACCAGCGGCCTCAGGTCTCATCCTCCAGAGCTGCTGTCCTTCAACATTATCATCATCATCATCATCATCATCATCATCATCATCATCATCATCATCAGTCATTCAGTTCTGCAAAGTGTTTGTCCTAAATGCAGATAAACTTTTGTTTTTGTCCCTCTGAATATGATTTATTTGCCTTTGAGGAGAGTCGAGGTGAACAAACTGTCCCTGCTGAGTCACATAGTCACACGTTGAGCAAAACGTATCATGTTGGGTATCAGTTCATCGTTCTGCTAAATGTTGTTTAGTTTTTGAGGTTTTGAAAGCTTCACCTTGACTTGCTATCTGTTGTTTTTGTGAAATTGTTGAAGTTTTGTCTTTTCTGACCATCATTCTTTCCTCCAGAAGTTATTTGACTTCTCTAGAGGAATGCTGCTGTAATGATCCAGGAAACAGAAGCCAGAGGAAGCAGCAGGGAGAACCAAAGACGTTAAAGATGGTGGCAGAGAGATGGCGGCAGCTCCTTTACAGGGTTTTATTCTCCAGACGATTAACAATCTTTACTACCTAATAGTTCCTGTGGATCTTCACAGATGCGGCGTACGAGCTTCATTTTTAAAATGAGTTGAACCAAGTCAGAACTTATCATTTCAGGCTTTATAAAACACAGATATTATCAGTGCTTACACAACTGCAGTGTGGGGCAGCAGGCATCAGTCCTGTAATATGAACTGATGAAATTTTTGTTCATGCTGTTTCTGAAGAATTCAAAGCAGCAGACGTCAGGAGCACAACACATTTAAGGAGGCCTTCGTCCTTGACGCAGCAGTCACAGGTTTGATTCCTGGTCTGGTGAACTTTGCTGCACGTTCCTCTGTCTCTTTACCTTCTTCCATGTCTTAGTACTTAGAAATAAACCACCACAATAAAACTTAAATAAAAGGTTGAAAACTGAGAACCATTTGATCAGTCAGGTTTATTTTTGAACAAAAGCAAGAAAATGAAAATTTACAACCAAAGGAAATTTTTTTTATGGTTTTGTGTTTGATTAGAGAAAATTATGAAAACAGAACAATAAGAAAAGAAAAAAATCAAATCAACATGAATCTGAACGGTTCCAGTCACTGATGTATGATAGTTAATGTACAAAGCTTCCAAAAGAAATGATACAAACATCAACAATGATTACATTTAAAGGCAAAATCTTTGATTGTTTGAAACAAAATAATTATGATAGTGAAAACATTATCTCTTTGTCGAATGAGTTTTATTGGACCATCAGGACAGATGGCAGCAACTTTAAATGGTCTTTCTGTCCACAAAGTTCATAACTTTCTTCACCCAGGACTCATTTGGATCCACACAGATTTCCCGTCCCTTAAGTGTCATTAAGCTGAAAGAAAAGACATTTTTGTCAAAAGACGGATAACAATAATAAATGAACTTTGATTTCAATAGAACTAAGGAGAGTCAGAAATAAAGCAGCATAATTCACATTCAGAGAATAACGAACTCAGTTATCAGGACTTACATAACTCCAGCCACAGTGCAGCGAGGATCCGTTCTGTAATATGAAGACATTCGTTTTTTGTCCATCGGGTTTTTGAAGAAGTCAAAGCAGCAGTTGTCAGGACCATTTCCATCTGAAAATGACACCGCTAGTTAATGAAGAATTTTAAATGAATGTTACAACACTTCATTTCCCTTTGGGATCAATAAACAAACTTTGAATTTGAATTGAGTCAGAATCAGAATTTCTTTTATTGTCGTTGCTCAAGAAATCACAACAAAATCAGAAAAGAAGACAGAATTGAATCATCAGCTGGTGGGTGAAGCATCGTCTCCAGATGAACTTACTGTTGCAGAGGACAGTGGCCAGCAGAGCGGCTCCCAGCATGCAGAGCAGGAGGATGTGAACGGCCTTCATGGTGACCAGATGTTGGTGATGATAGAGACGCTCTGGCTGGTTTGGACGAACAGTGGAGCGGTGCTGCATTTATCAAAACAGAAGTGTTAAAAGAGGCAGGGTCTCCGTGGTTACGCAGCACCAGAACGCCTCTGAGACGGTGAAACTTTCCACTTGGTTAGACAGAGTGTTAGATTGAAGAGGAAATGCTGTGGGTCGGCCACAAAAAGCATGAAGTCAGTGAGTATCAGTGAGCTGAAGACATAAACACCATCACAGATCTCTATTTCAGTTGTTTATTTTGAGATAAATACTAAGTATGAAACAAGTAAATCCTAACAGTATTTTTAGAATTGCACCTTGTTGTGCTTTTGCATTCAGCCCCTTTTCCTCTGAAACATCTAAATAAATTCAGTCAATTAAAAGTGTTTATTTGTAATTTGTTCAATAATGTCTTAAGTTTGAACACATTTTATATTTACGAGTAGAACATTTTTCCTTTCGCCCCCTGCTGGTAAAAGTTATCCAAGGTCATCTGTTGGAGTTACTTTAGTTAAACAGCAAACATGAATAAAATATTGAGTTTTATTACATATAGTTGTGACTTTAAAAGGGATCTGTATCTACAGTACATTAATGTTGAAATAAACTTATATAACTTATATAATCATTTTTAGGACTAATATCTCAGGTTTGTGGTGGTGAAGCTCAACCCACTTAAGGAGGCTTTAGTCCTTGATGTGGCTGTTGCAGGTTCAATTCCCGGTCTGTTGACCTTTGCTCCTCTTTATCTACTTCCATGTCTTAGTACTTAGAAATAAACCACCACAAAAAAACGTTTAAAAAAAGATTGAAAACTCAGAACCATTTGATTAGTCAGGTTTATTTTTGAGCAAAAGCAAAAAATGGAAAACTTACAACAACCAAAGGAAACAATTTTGATGGTTTTGTGTTTGATTAGAGAAAATGATGAAAACAGAACAATAAGAAAAGAAAAAGTCAAATCAACATGAATCTGAATGGTTTCAGTCACTGATGTATGATAGTTAATGTACAAAGCTTCCAAAAGAAATGATACAAACGTCAACAATGATTACATTTATAGGCAAAATCTTTGATTATTTGAAAGAGAATAATTCTGATACTGAAAACATTATTGCTTTGTCGAATGAGTTTTATTGGACCATCAGGACAGATGGCAGCAACTTTACAAGGTCTTTCTGTCCACATAGTTCATGACATTTTTCACCCAGGGCTGATTTGGATTCGCACAGATGGGACGTCCCTTAAGTGTCATTAAGCTGAAAGAAAAGACATTTTTCTCAAAAGATGGATAAAAGTAATAAATGAATTTTGATTTCAATAGAACTGAGGAAAGTCAGAAATAAAGACGCATAATTCACATTCAGCGAATAACAAGAACTCAGTTATCAGGACTTACACAACTCCACTTTTGGGGCAGCGAGAATCAATCTTGTAATACCAGGAGATGAGGAATTTTTTCACTGGTTTTCCGAAGAATTCAAAGCAGCAGTCCTCTGGAATACCTGAATCTGAAAATAACACCGTGAATGAACAATTTTAAATGAACACGATGTACAACACTTCATTTACCTTTGGGATCTGTAAATAAAGTTTGATTTTGAATTGAGTCAGAATCAGAATTCCTTTTATTGTCGTTGCTCAAGAAATCACAACAAAATCAGAAAAGAAGACAGAATTGAATCATCAGCTGGTGGGTGAAGCATCGTCTGCAGGTGAACTTACTGTTGCAGAGGACAGTGGCCAGCAGAGCGGCTCCCAGCATGCAGAGCAGGAGGATGTGAACAGCCTTCATGGTGACCAGATGTTGGTGATGATAGAGACGCTCTGGCTGGTTTGGACGAACAGCGGAGCGATGCTGCATTTATCAAAACAGAAGTGTTAAAAGAGGCAGGGTCTCCGTGGTTATGCAGCCCCTGAACGCCTCTGAGACGGTGAAACTTTCCACTTGGTTAGACAGAGTGTTAGATTGAAGAGGAAATGCTGTGGGCCGGCCACATTATTTTTAGAATTGCATTAAATACCCGTAGAAACTGTGTTGTGCTTTTGCATTCAGCCCCTTTTCCTCTGAAACACCAAAATAAATTCAGTAAATTAAATGTGTTTATTTGTAATTTGTTCAATAATGTCTTAACTTTGAACACATTTTACATTTAGGAGCAGAACATTTTTATTTTGCCCCCTGCTGGTAAAAGTTATCCAAGGTGATCTGTTGGAGTTACTTTAGTTAAACAGCCAACAGGAATAAAATAGTAACTTTTATGTTGATACATAAGTTGTAGAATTTTTAGGACTAATATCTCAGGGTGCTGTGGTTGTGCAGCGGTTGAGCACAACCCACTTAAAATCAACGACAGCCACATCAAGGCTCTTGATACTTGATGTGGCCGTTGCAGGTTCAATTCCCGGTCTAGTGACCTTTGCTCCATGTTCCTCTCTCTCTTTACGTAGTTCCATGTTTTCGTACTTTAAAATAAACCACCATAAAAAAAATCTAAAAAAAATTTAATACAAAAATATTGAAAACTCAGAACCATTTGATTAGTCAGGTTTATTTTTGAACAAAAGCAAGAAAATGAAAACTTACAAGAACCAAAGGAAACATTTTTGATGGTTTTGTGTTTCATTAGAGAAAATGATGAAAACAGAACAATAAGAAAAGAAAAAATCAAATCAACATGAATCTGAATAGTTCCAGTCACTGATGTATGATAGTTAATGTACAAAGCTTCCAAAAGAAATGATACAAACATCAACAATGATTACATTTATAGGCAAAATCTTTGATTATTTAAAACCAAAATAATTATGATAGTGAAAACATTATCGCTTTGTCGAATGAGTTTTATTGAATCAGGACAGATGGCAGAAACTTTAAAAGGAAATTTGGTCCACAAAGTCCATGACATTTATCACCCAGGGCTGATTTGGATCCGCACAGATGCGACGTCCTCTTTTTCCTTTTAGGCTGAAAAAAATGAAATTTTTCTCAAAAGACGGATAAAAATAATAAATGAACTTTGATTTTAATAGAACTGAGGAGAGTCAGAAATAAAGAAGCATAATTCACATTCAGAGAATAACATGAACTCAGTTATCAGGACTTACATAACTCCAGCCACAGCGCAGCGAGGATCAGTTCTGTTATATGAAGCGATTCGATTTTTGTCAATCCGGTTTCTGAAGAAGTCAAAGCAGCAGTCTGTGGGACCACTTGAACCTGAAAATGACACCGCTAGTTAATAAATACACTGCTCAAAAAAATAAAGGGAACAGTGTTCCCTTTAGCAGTGTAATTTTGAATGAATGTGAGTTACATTTCATTTTCCTTTGGGATCAATAAACAAATTTTAAGTTGAAGTAGAATCAGAATTTCTTTTATTGTCGTTGCTCAAGAAATCACAAAATCAGAAAAGAAGACAGAATTGAATCAGCTGATGAGTGAAGCGTCGTCTCCAGATGAACTTACTGTTGCAGAGGACAGAGGCCAGCAGAGCGGCTCCCAGCATGCAGAGCAGGAGGATGTGAACGGCCTTCATGGTGACCAGATGTTGGTGATGATAGAGACGCTCTGGCTGGTTTGGACGGACAGAGGGCTGCAGAGCTGCGTTTATAAATATCAATACATAATGAAAGGCGTGGAGGTGTAAAAGAAAGAGGAGGGTTTGGTGGTTACACGATGACGATATGCTGCTGTGATGGTGAAACTTTCCACTGCATTAGAAAGAGTAGAAGGCAAAGGAAATGCTGCTGTGGTTGGACCAAAGTTGCCCCTGAACAGCAAGAAGTTAAAAAAAATCAAGTGTAAAACTTCTATGATTCCGCAAGAAAAAAAGAAAAACATTGAAAAAGGCTGAAAGGAATTGAATTAAACCTTTATTGACGTAATGATTAGAGTTTGGGGGGTTTTTTTTAGCCGTTTTTGTGTTTTGGTAAGAAAACAGAATCGTGTTTGGTGTGAAAGAAGTCAGCTCTGATCCTGGGTCAGGAAGGTAACACGTATAGCCTCAAGCATCAAGAACATATTCCCTGTTACTGGTGAGACGATTCAGATAATGTAAAGCAAAAGAGGGATGGGGAACATATTATCAGGTTTTCCTTCTTCTGATTAAGATAAAAGAAGTTATTGAGGAGGGTTGGGCTTGAAAATGGTGGAAAAGTCACTGACAAACTCTTTCCATTCTCAGAGACCTGGACGTGTCTGTTCTCTGAGAGGTGGAGAACGTCTGTGGCAGCACCAACCACCACCTCCATGGAAGGAGGATGACGCTGATGAAGCACATGCACAGGAGCTTCTGCAGATTCTCCCTCTTCAGCTTTTGCCTGAGTCGAAGGCGATTGGCGGGATCTTCTCCGGATGTCGTCTTTCTTTGGGTTCAGAGGTTTCCAGAACTTGAACACACCGTTAGAGACATTTTTCTCCTGTTGGATCAGGAACTCGTGGACACAGTTGGTTCTTCCAGCAGTCTGAGTCACAACCAGCCCTTGGAAGAGTCCTTGCTAAGTGGCTAACATCCCTGCAGACCCCACACATCCTGGATACAAACCGATAAACATTTAACAGTCAGAGTCAAAGAACGGCAGCGTAAGATGAAAGTTTTCTGCGACTGCAACAAACGTTGAACAGTCAAATTCCTTGTTTATTTGCACAAACGCAGCAGATGAGGCTGATTTATTCTAGTTTTTACATCAAAATGACTTTTCTCCAGCAGTTCTAGATGTTTCCTGCAGTGGGGTTGTCACTGCACAACTTTTCCGAACCACAACAGATTGTTGTTTTTAGGTGCCTTTACCCACCAAACCGAGTCAAGCTATACACACATACATGTGTTTTATGACCCACATAAAAACACAGAATATTTCCTCTTTGGCTGCATTTTGCACAGGCCAGCATATCTGCATTAGCTTTTAGCAAACACTGAGTACAAATACACACCTGAGACACTTGAATACTTTCAAATGAAGTATTTAAAAAAACTTAAAGAACATGAAGGTTTCAGTATCAGTAGTTGGACGTCAATGTCAAATTTATCTACGTAAAACGTAAACTTTTGACCAAAGTATTGCACAACATACATCAAGCACCAAAACACAAAATACATCAGCAAATAAAAAAATATTGAAAGTATCAGAAGAATGTGAACAGCTGATGAGCATATAGAGTAGATCCATTGCAAAAACAATGATATGGATAAATTCATACCATTAAAGTTCATATTAACATGAAGCCTCAAATGAAAATGTGACTGTTTGGTCCTAACTGTACATGAATGTTTGTTCCTCTTTTCATCTCTCTGAATATAATTATGTTGCTATTAAGGAAATGTGAGGTGCGACAATCGGCCCCTGCACATCGAGCAGAACGCATCCTGTTGGGTTGGTGGTTGTACCCAGAAATGTTTATCATGCATGAAGTGGGTTTAACGTTGGATCCTGCTGACGGCGGATTGTTCAGGTCTGCGGCTTTGCTGAACTTTGTGTCGTTCGTGGTCAGATCTGAAGATCCTGGATGTAAAACTGCAAAATCTAAACATCAGAGAAGACAAGCGCCTGAAAAAAGTTGAAATTTGAGAATTGTTGAATTCAAGCTGCCTCTGCTTCCCCTCTACATCTCCATAACAGCTTGTAATATTTTATTTTAAAATGTTCTTGTTCTGTGCTTTAATTTGACTCACGCCATCAATGAACCATTTTTAAAATATGTATTAATAAAACTCTCAACGTATTTCACTAACAATAACTTTGTGAACAAAGATTAAGTCAGTTTATCTGTAGGCCACAGTGTGAAAATGTGACTATGAGGAGAAGCCAGGATTTCTCACCCATGTATGTTTTTGATCAAATAAATAATAATATTATTTTTTGATGTAAAACTAAACTACCTTTGACATTAAAAACCTAATGTAAAAACTAAATTGCACAATAATCTTTTAAGTTTGAACACATCTTCAATCTGAGAGCAGAATTTATTCTTTTCGCCCCCTGCTGGCAAGAGTTAACTAAGAAACTCTAATCAGGAATTGGCTGTTAATTAAAAAAAAAAAAAAATTCACAGAAATGAAATTTGGTGACATACTTTTTATGTTATTTAGGGGTTCCCTAAATAAGTTGAAAATTGTTAATAAAATTATAATGACAATAAATCAGCCTTGCTATTTATTGCTCAAAGCTTCATTATTAAGATTAAAAAATCAGAATCGTTTGACAAAAGTTACATTTATTTTAGAATAAAATCAAGCATGCAACAACCAAAGGAAACATCCAGAAGACTTTGTGTTTGATTACAGAAAAACAGAAAAGAAAGGCAAAAAAAAAAAATGGGGGGGAAAAAAAACAATCAAAAACAGAATTGTCCTACAGTCAATTCATTGTAACAATGATTACTTGAACCAAAGTTGAATGGCAGAATTACAGTCACTCTGCATTTTATAGACCTTCATATGAACTGATCGAGATGGATACAGGCAGATCTCTTAACGGGGCTTTTTCTCCAGAAAGTCAATAATCGTCTTCACCCAGGGCTGCTTGGCGTCCACACAGATGGAGCGTCCTTTTTTTGTTGTCAAACTGAAAGGGAAAAGAAATCAAGTAAAAAGAAGTTCACCAAAGAGCTTCACGTTTTACAGACGAAGTCACAAATGAAACCCCAGCCTGCAGCACTTACACGATTCCCCTCAGCGAACAGCGGGGATCAGTCTTCTCATATGAAGACATGAGATTTTTGTTCAGGCGGTTTTTGACGAAATCAAAGCAGCAGTCGACCGGAGAGTTTCCACCTGAAAATGAGACGGTCAGACTGACATCAGCAGATCGGAGGAGCGTCGTCTGCAGGTGAACTTACTGTTGCAGAGGACAGAGGCCAGCAGAGCGGCTCCCAGCATGCAGAGCAGGAGGATGTGAACGGCCTTCATGGTGACCAGATGTTGGTGATGATAGAGACGCTCTGGCTGGTTTGGATGAACAGAGGGCTGCAGAGCTGTGTTTATCAAGACCCAAACATGATGAAAAAAAATAAAAAAATCTGTCGGAGCTTTCAGAAAAGTGTGGGTTTCTGCGGTTACACTGTGACTGAATGCTTCTGTGACAGTGAAACTTTCCACTTGATTAGGTGGAGTGGAAGATTTCAGAGGAAATGCAACGGCGGTTAGACCAAAATGCATGAAGTCAAAACTTTCTAACACATGTCAAACTTCTATGATTCTAATATAAGATATAAACAAACCTCACAAGACTAAGAGAAAAATGTACTATGTACTTTTATCTTAGTATTTACCTATTATGGCATGACTTCATGTTGGATTTTGCAATTTTTCTTAAAGCCAAACACAAAAACAGAATTATCAGGCATCATAACTAGGAGAGAATTGAAGCCTATCTGTTTGAATTTCTGTAGTATGAGGTTCATTTGATTTTATATTTCGGAATATGAATTAAATCTATTTGACATGTAAAATATCTTCCTATGACATTAGTTGTGAATTGGCTCAGAATAAATAAACTGAATGGACTGGAATTAACTGTGAATGAAGTCCAGTAATAGACTGCAGGAATCAAACTTAAAACACTTTAGAGTTTTTCTTTTTTGCAGAAATAATTTGAAACCTCATATTTAGTGCTATATAATAAAGCATTTAGTTTTAGTTTTGATAAAAAGTCATTTTGTACTTCACTTTAAACCTGTTCAAAATTGCAGAAGCTGCTTCACATCCACTGATACTCAATATTCAACCACCAAACCGGGTCAAACTTAACACACACATTTTCTTTTTACTTTTACAACCTACATAAAAAAGCATTAAAATATTACGCTCCCTCAACTTCCTCTGCAGCTGCACTTTGCAAAGGCCTGACTCAGCATTTACTCTCAACAAAGAAGAATATATATATATCTATATATATGTGTATATATAGATATATATATGTGAGGCAAAACACTTGAGTACAGGAATGTTGAAAATGAAATATAAATAAATATAAAAAAGCATGAAAGTTTCATTATTAGCAGCAGAATGTCAAATTTATTTCTATGCCTCATTTAAAACAACATAGTTGACCAAAGAGCTTCACTATTTACACTAACCTTAAAAGTTTTGAACTTAATCTTTGACCCCCTGTCCCTTTTTTCCACACTCAGCACTTTTCAAGCCAACATCTCAAAATCAAAATCTCTGAGGACTTCAGTAAAGTTTGAAGTAAGCATAAAAAAAGAAAGACTTCTTTTGACCCAAAATGGCCGCCTTCCTGTACATTTGAGGAAATACTTCCAACAGAATCCCTTCATTGATCTGGAAGGATCGATCTATGATGCAAATTTCAGATCTGTATGATGCACCGTTTGGCCCATCTCTGTTTAGGGGGCTGATTCCTGGTTTTTAACTGGGACACTAAATGCACAAACCTAACAGAAAACTCCTTATGGAGAGAGACCCATGGTGCATCAACGCACACAAAGGATTTGCTGTCAGTAAGAGCTGATGGTAAAAGCAGAGGCAAAAACAGCAGCAGAGGAGCTAAAAACCCGACAACGCCCGATTCAACGTGTGAATATTGTAGTTTTCATCTGTTTTTGCAATTCTGCATACGCATGTGATTTTTTTCAGCAGTAACTGGGACAGAAGACCTGAAACAGAAACGTTTGGTTCAGTTGACCAGAATGACACGTCTAATCAACCTGATTATAACAGGTTCATGATGAGTCGTTTCCTGCTGCTTGGCGGTGAAATACTAAACACAGAATGATGAATTAATCAATTGTTGTCACATCGTAACATAATTAAGTTTAAATCCTTCTATTCTTGTTTGGCTTTTATTTTAACTCTTGAATTGAGCTGAACTGTGAAAAATCTCACGAAAAGTGGGTGCAGTAAGTCTTTCTACCAGCAGGGGGCAGCTTGTGTCTATAAATTAGTGTCTAATCCAAGTCTTATTCTGAGTTCCTCAGTTATGTTTCCTGGAGCTGATTGTGTTGAAATTCTTAGTTTTATAATAAATGACTTAATATCTAGTAATGAGAGAAACTTTGGTTCTTTACTCCACGTTTATTTAACAGCTCAGATTGTAACAAAATTAGTCACCATGACTACAATACACATTTTTTTGACTGATTATTGTGTTTTTAACATGTAAGCCTCTTTAATCTGCCTTGCTGCTGAAATGTGCTGTTCAGGTAAACCTGACCTGATTTGAATTCAACCACAGAGATTAAGCTGAGCTGAACAGAAGATCACCTGACATCATGTTTCTCTGCATCACTCAGCCTGCTGAAATCATGTGAATTTTTCTCTGGCAGTTTTGTTCGTGGTCAGAGAACGCACCGCGCTGAGGCAAAGCCGTTTCACTTCAGACGTTTCTCACAGCTCCATAAAGACATTGTGCTCTGAACTCAGCTCTGCACACAAACCAGAGTCCTGATCCAGAAGAAGATGTTACAAACGACCTCTAAAGTTCAACTTTAACATGTTAACAGCAGTGTATGCATCTGGTGTGGAACCAGCTGTGCATGTTGTGTCACATAATCATGTGTTATGCAGAATGTCTCCTGTTAGGTTTGTGGTTGTATCTTATATGGTCCCCATGCCTGCTGAGAGACATGAAACCATCAGAACCATGTGGTTCACCCTGTAGCTCTAATCTATCATGTTTACAGTCTGTCTTCTTCCCTGACTGAGTGAAGTCAGAGATCAGCAGCCGATCAAATCATGCAGCAGGTAGTTCGGGTCAGTGTGGTTCTGCTGAATGTCGTCTGGATCTCCTTCTTTTTGACTCCAGATCTGGACTTCTCAGGTGAGACCAGCTAAAGGAGAGGAACCTTTAAATGTTGATGCTGCTGATGTGACATTAGTTTGAACAAACAAACTGTCTTTAGTCACATTTAGACTTCCTGATTGTCTGTTTTTCCTACATGACACATCATTTAAAGGCGGTTAAAAGAATCTGGACAAACTTTGGTTCACATATTCAACAGTTATTTAAGTGTGAATAATCTTTATGTATGTGTATTATTTCTACTCCACACATGTAGAGGCTCAAACAGACACCAACAGATATACAGGAACATTAATAGGTTAGAGAAAAATATTTAAGGATTCTCTTACAAGAAATGTAATCTATGGCAGAAAACCAATCAAGGATATAATCCATGCATTTCCTAAGACCCTTGGCTCTAGTGTGGTCAGGAGGTGCTGGTGCTTGTCTCCAGTGAATATTTTGGGCAACAGGTGTGGTCACGCTGGACAGTATGGCAACACAGAAACAGATAGGACAACATTAACATTCAACATGAGTGGATGTGACCATGTGACCTGTACTGTAACCATGGAGATGTGTCTCTCAGTCTTTGTGCAGAGGAGAAGCATCAGCAGCTCTGATGAGACGTTCATGACGAAGTTCTGCCTTCAGCCAGACTCTGACAGGAAGTGGACATCAGCCGGACCTTCAGCCAGTGGTCCAGATAAAGACATCACCACCGTCACAGAACAAAGTGGTGAGACTAAACAGTTTGGTTTGATATCTGAATGTTTTGGATATTTCTGTCAGAAAACCAATACATAAAATTATTCTCTATTTTGGATTATTTTAAATCTCGGTTCAAACACAGCTCTTTTGTGGAATCCAAATTAAATCTATTGAGGTTTATTGGAGCCAAGTGGCAAAATTAGATTATTTGAGTTATTTTTGAAACAAAATAGTAACGAGGTAATGGATGTACAGTATGTGTTCATGTGAATATAGCTTCATATAACTACATTTATAGTTCTACATTCAATCCATGCATTATTTGCAGTGAATGGAAAGAAAATTCGACATGAAGAATCCAACTCAGGTGACAAGTTCTCCACATCTGCAGCTCCTGATCCTGATCAGATGTGAGTAAATGAAGCTTTAACTTTCCTAGCTGTGAGGCATCAACAAAAACTGACCTTGAACCATTTATGACCACAAAGATGTTAAAGCTGGTTTGATCTGAGTCGTCATATGGAACCTTCTTCTTGTGCCACTGCAGTGTTTGAACAGATGTTTAGACATCCTTGAATGGTTGCCATTTGAGGTTGAAGGATTCCTCGAACATAAATTAAAACTTTGCTTTGAAAAACATATTTTTTTGCTGGTTTTCTTTTCAGTGATTTGTACGGACCGACTGTATTTCCTCATGAACAGAGACTGACTTCACCACCAGAGTTCAGCTCCAGCTCCGAAGCTGATCTTGTCACAAAGATTCCAACAACTCCACGAAACCAGCAGGATGAAACCAGTCAGCAGAAAATCACCATCAGTCCACTAAGACCAGGAACAGGAAGTGAGTTTTTACTCCAGCAGGTTTTCATCCAAGCAAAGATGTTACAGTGTTGGTATGCATACACAAAAAAATCTATGCTTAAATAAAATGAACAATACAATATCATACATTTTAACAATAGTTCCACTTCCAGCTGTCAGAGCATTTCTATTACTATTTTTCACCCACAAGTGAAAATCCAAATTAAATCTATTGAGGTTTATTGGAGCCAAGTGGCAAAATGAGATTATTTGAGTTATTTTTGAAACAAAATAGTAACGAGGTAATAGATGTACAGTATGTGTTCATGTGAATATAGCTTCATATAACTACATGTATAGTTCTACATTCAATCCATGCATTATTTGTAGTGAAGGGGAAGAAAATTCGACATGAAGACTCCAACTCAGGTGACAAGTTCTCCACATCTGCAGCTCCTGATCCTGATCAGATGTGAGTAAATGAAGCTTTAACTTTCCTAGCTGTGAGGCATCAACAAAAACTGACCTTGACCCATTTATGAACACAAAGATATTAAAGCTGGTTTGATCTGAGTCGTCACATGGAACCTTCTTCCTGTGCCACTGCAGTGTTGGTGAAAACAGACACTACTGACATCATTTAATATTATCTGAAAAACAATATATATTTAAAAACCATTGAGAGCCACAGAG